GTGAAGATCTGATTTGCTGTATGTTTGAGTCTGCAACTTTATGTGATAACACTCAATCCTGCGATTGTACTTACTCAACATAGTGACGGTGTGTAAATTGTCAACAGATTGTACGTGAAATTCCAACTTTGAAAAACAAATATTTGGCCTACCTGGGGTTCTTGACTCATTACCCGTGCGTCTACGTTCTGGATTGGCTAATCAGGTAAAATTTGCGGTGATACATGGTACGCCATTGCGGTGCTCTGATTACTAACCGAACGTGGCGTGGCAGGTAGGCTGTTTCACTCTAAGTCCTTTCTTCCTTTTTTCATCCTCATGTACTCAAGGTTCTTGAACGAGGCGGACTGCGATGGTCGATCCGGCGAACCTGTGATAGTGCAGGGCAACTTGTCCGGGGGCTCGTGAAAACTTTTTAGGATATTACTATAGTCACAGGTAACCTGGGTGCAGAGCCCGACGCCCGTCCAAGAGGGGGGCAATACTTGCTCCCAGGCAGGAGCCCTGTGTTATAGGTAGGATTAGATGTAATCAAGAAGACACAACCAAGTATTAGAATAAACATAGAGATAAGGACACTCTATTGAAGGGGAAAAGTGGCAGAAATCACTTGGCAACAAACTGCAAGTCCTAATTAACTAGAATATTCAGCGCTAACTAATGAAGGTTTAGCAATCTGTAAAGATGACTTTATCCAGATAAAAATCCTTCAAAAGAAGCAAGGTAGATATATTTTTATACTAGTTGCCTGATGGCGTCATGCCAACACGGAGAACAAAAAGCAAAAGATCAGTTTTTGTTTTGTCAAGTCGAGATCGAGCAAAGACCTGAAAGAAGAACTAGGTGGATGAAGATTGAAGAAGCCATTAAGATAAAGGACTATACTATGTTGTTAAAGTGTCAATGGCTGAGAAAGTTTACAACAGCTTTCTTAATATTCAATATGTCAGCCTACACCACATCAAATAAAAGTAAAGAGAGACCACGTCTGCAACTTGTTTCTCCTGGGGCACAAATATGAAGAACACACAACGAGAGACTGTCCTAAAAAAGTATTGCTCAGATTGTGCAGGCGGACGACCATACCTACACTGAATGTAAGAATACACATGTTGGCTGTCTCAACTAGAAACGGGAATGTATACATAGGGACATAGGATCGAAGCAATGCATGCCCAATAAAAACACATGATAAAGTACAAGAACAAGGAAAAAAGGCAACATAGAAGGATACGACATACGCCGAAATAGCAAAGAGAGCGGTCCAAGAGGCCCAGACCAGAATCCACAGTATTAAACCCAAGTGAGCCACTACGATAAGGTACAGATGATCCATGCATTGCAATAATATCATTGCACCCGGATCATACAATGAGGAATTAAGGAAAATGTTTAAATTCAACAACCTGTACTGAGATGATATTTGAGAGAACCACAACTGAAAAACTATTTCCAGACAGCATATAAAGGAACTGAGAAAACACTCTGCGACCAAGACGAACAAAGGTTTTATATGAGCAACATTGATACACAAGGAACACAAGCGACCGATAGAGATCCCAGACAAATACGAAGTAATAAAGAAGAGAAAATCAAAAGGAGACAGAGGAGGAGGAGAGAAGATAAGATGAAATCTGATCACAATATACAACCTGAATTGCTGAAGAAATTGACAAAAGTTATCACTACAAAATTATGAATCCTCAACATCGGCACCAGGAGGGACAATAGTAAAAACTGTGAAGGAGGATATACAAGTGGGATGCATATCAAGAAAAATCCCTAAGTGAAGATTATGCCTGGTCACTAATTACCATGGACAAATCCAAAGATTACGCACAAAGACTTTAAAAATAGTAACCTGCCTAAGTATAGGTAAGAGCCAGAAGGAAAACAGGATGACAGTACTCCACCCAATCCACAATCCAAAGAAATAATACCAAATAGACAACATAAACATAATAAACTTTAAGAATAATACAACACAACGAAGAAACTGGAAGACTGAGAGAACAAAACTTAAGTAATATATATCGCGAAATGATCTGACATTATACTACTAAATAGTCACGATGAAAACAATATAAAACTTTAATCATTATAAACAAAAGAAATAAATCGGCGAGAAAATGACGGAGCAGAAGATAAGTAAAAGCGGAAAGAACTTGGGTACCGAAACTAATTGATGACTTCCAGATGAATTTCTAGCAATAAAAATAAATACAACTCATGAGACGTAATTATTGGGTACTACTTACCTATAGAAGACCTATTAAATTAATATCAATGAACATCCGATGTACATCTAGAGACTTTAACGCCAGATAGGATTTTTGGATTAATACAACACAACGTCGGGAAACGCCCTTAATCAATTAAATAGGGCACCAACCATCTGGGTCCTAACTTTCCAACCTGGAGAAATCACAACACACAATCGACACCAGACAAAATTTTTACCAGTGAAGCAATACGTAACTGAACTAAGAAGTAATACTGA